AAAAGAAAATCACAAGGAGGAGCACTGGGGATCAGTTGGAAACACTGGTCTTTAGCTGTATAACTGATACTCTAATATTTATAAGAGTACAGTGCTTATACATTTAATTAGCTAAAACCAGCACTAAACTCTTACCTTGAAAGGCTGACAAAGTCTATAACTGGGAACAGTTTGCCCAGAGGAGTTAGGAGTCTCTGGAAGTGTTCAACGCCAACCTGGATGAGGATTTGAGCCAGCTGTTCCAGTGAATGTGTCCCTGCTTATGGCAGGGGAGGTTTAAACTAGAAGACTTTTAAGGTCCCTGCTTACCCAAATCATTCTATGGTATAATTCTGTGATTGGCATACTCAGATAATTATGCTTTTTGAGCAATCTTCAGGGTATTCAGCCAATGTGTCCCACTATGTTACTGATACTGGTGACAGCACTCAAATTTCACATTCGGGTCAAGACCTAATGTGCTACACACTGGATGAGTACTGTTGAAATTATGTGCATTAAAATTATATGGTTTATTTTGTTATTGCTGAAATAACTATGAAGAAACATTAAAATATAAAAATTTACATTTAAAGTAGTAGGGAGAAGCAAAGCCAGAGAACTTCATTTAGTGGACACAATCTTCCCCTTTCACCTGAACATCAAGTCTCTTAAAAGTTATCACTGGGACAACCTGGAATTATTCACAAGTTCGAAGTCTCAGAGAAATGTACATTCACAAGCCATGATCCACAGACAGTGGTCAATTCCTAATAAACAGAACTAAGAGGAATTAAAACTACATACCATTCTCTTAACTTTCTTTCTGCAGGCAGGGAAACGTCTGTAAGCACACAAAGAATATAAGTGAATAAAAGAGGGAGGCCAAGGCCCATAAAATCCTGATTTGTCCATAACAAGTTTATTTATGAACACATGCTAAGGATATACTGCTTTAAAAGAAAGACCCTAATCTTAAACAAGGAGTAGAAGCAGGTGATCTGTAGGAAGAAGATTGCAAAACAGGGATAGCTGGCTCAAGCCCACGTGAATGCATTTAAAATACTAATCACATAATGACACACTGTGATATTGAATCACCAGAAAACAGACCTAGTTGGAGAAAAACGAAGGTTTGGCAAAGGTGATAGCTGTGAACATTTCCTGTGGAAACAAGCACCCTGCCAATTGCTACAATCATTAAAATAGACAAGTCTTCCATAATGACCACAAGGACAGTCCAAGAGTTTTGTGACACCTCTATTTCTCAAGTGTAGAAAAGCTCCTAGAGAACTACACTTCAAAAATATTTAGAAAACTAAATATTCCAACTGACAATGCTGTAAAACGGAAACTTAAAATATGGCTGTTCACCTCCAAACTTGCCTCTGCTCTTCAACTGAAGTCCCAGGCTTCCAGAGGCAGAAATCATGAGCATTCACATAACCTTCATGGAAGAGAACGGCAGTGCTAATACAGCTCTAACAAAAGCTTCATCTCCATACAGCAAGAAGACTATCAATGGGATCTGCAAATCTTATGGCGTTGTTTTGGGGACTTTTTTATTAAAGTCCTTGATCCCTATGTTCTAACTAAAAGAGAAAAAAAAAAGTCAACATACCTCTTACAGATAATGAGAATTTCACAAATATCGAGCTCTGTTACATTTCTAGCTGCATAAGAGTATGATTCTACAATCTGACTGCATCTTCCCTCTGCCTTTATATTTGAAAAATCAAATCACATTCTGCAAAATATTCCCCACGGGACACATATGAATATTTGATTTAGACTGGAGAGCAGTTAACCACATAATTAGTTACCCTGGAAATCAAAGAATTCAGAAAAATAACTACCAGATTAGATCAGGGTACACTCCTATTCTCATTCTAAGGGCTGGCAGATACTATGGGAGGGAAGCACAAGAAACCCTCAAGAAAAATCTCCTCACAGCCTGAGAAGGGGCTAATTCAAATTCTGGATAATGAAGTTTAATATTCTCTCCAATATGTTTCCCATTTTATCACAAGTCTAGATCTTGTCACTGCTATTACAATCCCTTGAAATCTTCATCTCAAGAATAAATTACATGTTTTCTTCAATATTATTTCTTTTTCTATCAGACTTTAATTTATGGCTTTTCAGCTTCTTTGCCTAACATTTTTCCTCTTATAACACAGTAAGAAGAAAAACTCTCTACCTGCCTAAGCAACATGTTCCAGTACTTTCCAATACTTTTGTTTCAACCTCTTTAAGGTAACAGCAAAAGCTCTTGATCATGACAGATTGCCTGTACTCTTTCTCCTTGCTCATCTCAGAGCCTCCTGTAATATTCTTTGAGAGCAGACAATCATAATTACAGTATTTCACTAAATTTGCTGAAGGCATCCTAACACACAGGAACTACATTACATTATTCCAGTTCCTAAAATCTGGTTTGCAAGTGCAGTCAAACAGCAGAGGTCTTCCCTGAGCTGTGTACAGTCCCAAAATCACCAGCCAATGTAATGTGAAAGTTGGCAGGTAATTTTAGCGTTTTCAGGAAATGCGAGGCTTCTGTTTGTGATAACTGAATGACATTTATTGACATTTCAGCAAGTCACCTGGCTAGGACAGGACTGCCTAGGGAATTCTTACGAGTCCTTTCTCATTCTGTCCAATCCAGACCAGTTTGTGTCTTTAGCATATTTTCACTTCTTCCTCCTCTCTTTCCAACTAATTTATAAGAATATTAAATACTGGAGGTGCTACATAACCTTGTGGCATCCTGGTATGTTTCAAATTGTTCTCCAAGTATGTTTAGGGGTCATAGTAACATTATCTCAGGTTATTAGTGGTAGTTTCCCTAATGGAGTTTTGCTAAAACAGAAACAACCAAATAAACAAAAGATTTCTGAATCTCTCAAACGATTTTATATATCCATCCATACATCTATATATATATATAAACATTCTAAATAATATGCAAAAGGAATACATTCCAGTGCAAAAGATGTAGATCTGGCCCTATAGGCAATTTAGTTACAATAAAAAGAATATCACCAAGAGACATAGACTAAATAAATCTAGATCAGGCCATATTATGGAATTATTTTCTGCAAAGCAGGTTCATTATTAATGCAGCCCATAATTAAAATCATAATTACAATCCAAATTTCTACAAGGATGCAAAATAAGATGACAAAAAGTACCCAGGTTGCAATTTGAGCTTTAAAAAGTCATTTGTTCGCAGTACTTGAGCCAAAAATGTTTTTTAACTGCAAAGTCACAAGGAAAGTCCATATCCCAAAATTAGACATCAGCCCAACTTGAAGGAGTATTCAAAGATGTTTCAAAGTGGCTGTGACAAAGTTGTCTTCCCACTTTAGATGATATACCCTATTCAGCTGATGCAGATCAACATGGCTCTCCTTAAACCATGCTGTAGAGATCTATCTTTTCTACGTGCCCTTCTATGTTCCCAGTAACTCAGATTTTAAATTGGCAACAAATTCACATAACCTATTATTTTTAGACACACATTTATGAAACTCAGACACTTTGTATTTTTATTCCCCACCATTATAACTCAAGTATGTAATTTTGTTATTCAGATCAAATTAGGAGAGAAAATATTACTAGAATAGCAGGCTTAGGCTTGCTATTAACTTTTTCAGACAGTTATAAATTTCATCGAATAGGTTATAATTGAGGAGCCAGCATGACCTTTATTATTTCAGAAGGTTCAGCCATAGCAGCTCAGTGTGACTTCAGCTAGACTATTAGTCACTCTGCCAGATAGAACCATTAACATCCAACTCAGTCTGGCATCCACATATGATCTGATCCTTAAAACTGGCCTGAATAAGCCTTACTCTCAAGAACAGCCCGGATCCAGGCACTGGAATTGCTCTTTCAGAAATATCATACTCCTAGTAAGTAAAGTGGCAAATATCTGATATTTCTGTCAAAATTGTAATCAAAGAAAAAAAATTTTAAAGGCTCTTACAGAAGAGTATTAGAATATTTAACAGTAAAGTTCTATTTTCAGGCAATGAGGAGCAATGAGGAGCAACTCTCCCTTAGAGAAAAACCGAAGTAGTACTGTGTGCCATGCATTCTTGTTTCATTCTATTCCATTATTAAGCACACTGCCAAATAGATAATCCAGTAGTAAATATTTCAGAACATTTGTACTTAATACTTAGGGAAGTACAATATGAAAACAACCACTTTATCAGAGCCAGTGTTTCTAGCAAAGCAACGATCTCTGTTGCAGCAGAATCCTTTTATCAAAAAAAAAAAAAACCTACGATGTTACAAACGATCTTAAGACAACCAAAATAATGTTACGACTTCAATTAATTGGTAAACTACTCTAGAACTTTTTAATGCATACAATTGACATACACATGATGAAAGATGGACAAGCAATAGGGCGTTACACACAAAAATACTAGTTGATATATTACAAAGACCCGAGGTAATGCTTTCTTTGTACATCATGTATGCGAAGGAATACAGCTACACCTCTCTTCATATCGTTATCATTTGAAGTTTCTTTCTCAAGTGTATGCATACGGAAGAAGCAGTTCCACTCGACATAGGAAAAGACAGATTATTCAGCTCAAGTGCTGTGAAAATTTGACAGACTCCTAAAACAACGGAAACACGCACTGATAAAGTGTTACTTGTGGAAATGGTATGTGCGTGAGCTTTTACACAGCTGTCAACCCGCGGTAATCACCGTCGCTAAGCGTGCCTGCAACATGAAGACAAATATTTGACCTATTTTCTTAGCAGAATTTAGCTGTCATCATTCTTAGCACCACGCTCTCGTGAACCAGCCACTGCCGAAGGACTAAGGCAACACGGGTATAGAATTCTTCGTCGAGAGTGAGAGCACTTCCTTCCACGGACCGAGGTTTGCTCCGGCGGTAAAGCGATCGGCCCCTGGAACCCACATCCCCCAGCCGGTTCCGGGCTGCACCCGCTCCCCCCGTCCTGGCAGCCCCCCACGCCCGTCCGTGCCGGGGACTCACGTTTGTAGCTGGCTGCCCAGGGCTGGTAGCCGTAGTAGCCGGTGATGCGCAGGATGCGCTCCTCGATGGAGGTGAGCCCCACGGACGCGCTGGTGAGGTCTTCCACGGAGCGGGACCACTTCAAGTCCTCTTTTATGGCCTCGTCCACCACCAGGTACTTGAGCTGCCGCAGCTGCGGGCTGATGTCGGACAGCCGCCGGGGGCTGACATCGGGGGAGCGCCGCATGCCGCTGCGGGTCGGGAGAGGAGCGTCAGCCCGGGGCCGCGCTGCCGGCGCCGCCGCCCTCCGCCGGCCCCGGGCGAAGTTGGCGGCGGGCGGCGGGACGCTCACCGGCAGGGGAGCCGGCCCGGGCCCGCGGCCCCCGCAACTTTCCTCGCCGCCCTCCGCCGGAGCGACCCCCGGGAGCGGGCGGCGCCGGCCAGGGTGAGGTGAGGTGAGGTGAGGTGGGGCGATGTGGGGTGTCCCCGTCTCCCCGCCCGCCCGCCCGGCCCCGCGGGTACTCACAGCGTGGCGGCTTTGCCCCGCGCGGAGCCGTTGGGGAACTCCCGGATCCCCATGGGGAGAAGCAGCGATGGCTGGGGGGCGCCCAGGCTTCCCGGCGGGGCGAGCCGGCGGCTCTCACCGGCCGGGTAAGAGGCGAAAAGGAAGGAAAGGAGCGAGCAGGGGAGGCGGCGCCCCCGTGGCAGAGGGTCCCCGGGCTGGCGCTGGCCCCGGCCCCGGCGGGAGAGGCGGGCAGAGAGAGAGGCGTGCAGGGATGGAGGGACGGAGACGGGCGGGCCAGCGCTGCCGCCTGCGAGCCGCTGCCGCCTGCGGAGCGCCGAGCGCCGGAGCGCCGGGCGGCGGGGGCCGGGCAGGGCAGGGCGCGCTCCGCGCCCCCCACCCCGCGCGCTCCCGCCGGCTGCCGGCAGGGGGAGCCCCCGGGCCCGCCGGCGCCACAAGCGGCCCTTGGGCGGGGCCGCCTCACCCCGCCCGGGGCGCCTCATCCCGCTCGGGGCGCCTCACCCCGCTCGGGCTGCCTCACCCCGCTCGACCGCCTCACCCCGCCCGGGGCGCCTCACCCTGCTCGGGCTGCCTCATCCCGCTCGGGCTGCCTCACCTCCTGGGCGCGGCCGCCTGGCCGAGGAGGGAAGCTTTTCCCACCTCTGTCCGGTGCGGACAAGCTCGGAACGGCACGGGAGGGCCGGACAGCCCGAGCACGGCCGGCTCTGAAGTGACCGTGGAGCCCATCTGGCGAGGGCACCCACCTGGTTACCCCCGTAAGGGCTGCGAGCCAGCGCCGGAGCCACACAGCCTTCTATCGACTCGCCTTTACTTTTATTTTCATTTTTCTTCAAACATACCACCTAACTTAGGTGGAAAACATGCAGATAAGCTTTAATGAACATGTGAGCACAGATGTTGCCTTATATACAGAATTCATTCACAGACAAGATTAAAATCTGATAGATTCTTGGACAGTTTAATCACCTAGAAATATAGATAGTTGAAGTCGTAGAGTGCTTTGTATATATGTTCCCATATATATTTAGGGGGGAAAAAATCAAGTCCAAGGAGAAAAGGTTGTCATTACCTTTCAGCGCTGCACTAGCTCAGTTTACCCGAACCATTAAACCAGAGAGGTATCAAGTGTGGAAATGAGCCAGATCAGTTGAATGCAACCTTTCATTGTCACTGAAGGGAACATTACAGCATCACTGCACCATTATCAGAAAGGGAAAATAAAAAAAAATCCAGCAGACAAAAGTCAAACTAATTATCATTTTAAATACACATGTATTGAATAAAGCACTAGCTTTATTTCATTTCCTCTCCAACCCTGATTTTGAGCCTGTGAAGGGGAAAAATGTTTGCTGCTGAGGAAGCCAGTTCCAAAATCCACTACAGGTGGACAGCAGTGGTCTAGCAGTGCAAACAGAGGGTAATTGTGCAGCTGTTTGATGCTGGCTGCCGGTAATGACAAAACCCCTTGCAGGGCACACAAATCAATGCAGAAGGATGACTTGGTTAAGATGAGGGGATAAAAACACAATGCTCACTAAATCTAAGGATACTGATCACTGTCTTGATTTAAGTCTCTTTAGGGCGTTTAGGGCAGGAATAGTGATGACAGGCATGAATGGGATTAATCATTTCAGTCAGGCCTCCAAAGGCTATCTCCAGACCAGCATCGTTCGGTATGCACAGTCCACACTCTCTCTGGCTCTAAGTGGTGTACAAGGATAGGATTTATTCTGAGAATTTCCTGTAATACTGTATGTATCTAGTGTAAAATTCCTCCATGATCATAGGTCCAGAAATAACATACAGTCTCAGAGCCAGCAAAGGTTCCAATAATGAAGCAATCCAAACAGTGTTAACCTGCCAATAGTGACTGACACCTGCTGAGTGCACACCTGCCTCTTGGCATGGGCTGGTGCAAACTTGCAGAGGCTGGTTCAGCCATGCTGGAAATTTTGCCTCCATCACTGATGTGTTTAGCTGCCCATCTTCTATAGCACCAGCAAGTAGCTGTAGAAGTCAGAGACCCTATTACACACATATCCACTTTAATATGCCAGAACCATCTTATTCTTCTATCCAATAAATTTTTTTTCAGCTGTTTTATTCCTCCCCAGCTGCTGTCATTCCAAGGTGTAAATGAAATGACGGATGGGTGTTTCTCCTCTCGTGCACACAAGTGACTTTGGACAGTTTGGGTGGCAGTGCTGACAAACTTGAAGTGAGCATGCATCTTGCGAGAGAGGAAAAAAATGCATGGGAGTGAACATCTTGAAGTTCAGTAAAGCATTTAATAAAGATGACATTTCAAAATTGTAGTAAGATGCAACAGGAACATCTACCAACAGCTACCTTTTAGGACCTTACAAAACCTTACTGTAAGTGATGTTTCTTCTTTTAAAATAGTAGTTGCTGGAGGCATGCAAGTAAAAATTCTCATGTATATTATTTTAATTATGTTCAAGAATTGTAGCTAAAACTGAAATGTTACAATATGGCATTGGACATTAAAGCATAAAGTATGGGATTCCACATGACTTGGAATTTGTAGATTTATGGAGCTGTTTAAGATTTTGAATAAACGGAGAAGAAAATATTTTAGTATTCTAAATTCTGCAATTCTGCAAAGTGTAAGAAAAAAAATTTGCTAAACAGAATATACCTACTTCAGGAATAGTGGGCAAAATGGTATGCATCACCAAGCTGGAGCCACTAATAACAGCTTTTCTGAACCTCTTACTCGTGAGAGTTTATTACTTTAGTAAAATACCTGCAATCATTTAAACACAGAAGGGTTAGGAAAGTATATTTTTTAAAAGGCAGCCCTCTATAGCAAGGGAACAATAAGTAATTATTCTAGAGTGTGGTGCCTTATTCTGTCCTGTTAGATACTCCTTTTTATGTTTTTCCAGAGTACATGAAATTATATGCTTGACTGATATTCAGCTCTTAAAAGGCACAGCCATTAAGATATATTAGCATTATGTTGTCTACAGTGTGACACTGTATCAAAGAAAAATATAATTTAAACAGTATTTATTTCCACCTCCCATCAATACTAGCTTGCCAGAAGATTCTCTGGAATGGAAGTTTGAATTTATCAAAATACTACTCATTTCATGAGAAAGGTAAGTTCATTTTTTTTTATTTCTCCCATACTCCACCCAAAGATAAGTGTTTTACATTTAAAAGATTCTGTGACATACTAGACTAAGATAGCAACAATGTTTCATTGGGCAACAAAACAATCACTAATGGTGCATAAACACCAGCATGAAGCTGATGTGTTCCTTTTTTCCTAGTTCATAAAAATAATCCTGAGTACCTGAGTCTTTAGAAGACAACTTAGCTCCCTCCTTAAGCAAGGAAAGACTTAAGCAAGTCCCCTTCTCACTACAAATTCCGCATTTGATGCATACTTCTGCTTCTTAGTATTTTTATGTTTAGCACTGAAGGTATAAGCCCAAGCCATTAATCAGATGTTCCTGCCCCAAGGGTATTTGGGTGTTGGACAGAAATACAATATACGTGATAAAAGTCCTATATAATATATGGAAATGCTATATGGCAAAGCCATTTATTTTCTCCAGCTGGGGTCAAATTTCACATGCACATGAATATAATGCTGCTGCATAACCCAAACGACTCCAACTCTATCCATGGGACTATTTATAGCATATTCAGATTGAATAGGAATGCAACTTTGAGCCTAATTAATTTCACATACAAAATATTTTGAACCAGCAACAAAAAAATAAAAAGCAAGAAAGAAAAAAGCAAAAAAAAAGCAAAAACTGTCTAGTCCATCCTAGATATTTGCTTGCATTCATGCTTTTAAATACTTAATACCATCTTGAAATGTTTGAAATAAACGCAGAGAACCAAGAAAAACTGATACAACAGGCAGAGAATGGCCAAATGAAGACTGAATGAGAAGCAAAAGTCACAGGCAGAATCACCCTTGTTCTCCCAAGTAGAGAAACCAACACTGTGCTTGAGAGAGCAGTCAGACAAATTTAAGACAAGTGGGAACAAATTTTTCACATGAGCTCTCACATTGCTCTGATCCTGCTGCAATGCATGGCAAAACCAAATAAGCATCAGAATTTTTGTCATGACCTTACTGAAAGCAACTGGAAAGCTCTGGAAATCACAATGTATCTGCCTGTTATAGTTAGTAAGGGCCATACAGAGTTAGTGTCCCAGTTCCTGGGAGGTATGCTGCTTTATAGAAAGCTGATTTTAATCTGCTACTTTGAAGTGGTTGAATATAAACTGTTCGCTTGCTTTCTTTGACAGACACAGTGGAAAATAGAAGTCCTTTATATTTGGAATGGAAAATAGACCTATTTTTTGTTTTGATATCCATTGTTAGATGAGAGGTACAGAAAAAAAAATTAGGACAACTCATCATGTCTTAGTGGTGCACGAGCTCTGCCAATGCCTCTCTTCCCATTTCAAATCAAAAACCAAAATGCAAAGAGCAGAAAAATAGTAACATTTCCTTCCCAAGAGCCCCAAAAGGACTGTAGGAAGTGTTAATGAGAGAATTCAGAACAGACCTCTTCAATAAACCATATCTTGAGAAATGCCAGAAGTTCAATCTCAAAGTCCATTGGTATGCTGTATAGCCTTGATATCCCTTCATGTTCCACCGTTCACGTTATTTGTGCTAGAAATAATGGGCTGCAAAACCCATTAAGATTTAGGAAAGGCTAGATACTGGCACTGCCACTTTTCTGTATTTGGCTGTGCATGACTCCTAGTTCACCCTTGTCCCACAAGTTTGCTGAGAAGTGAGCCAAACAACCAGGGAATGAGGAAGAGGGGGAAAGATATAGAAAAGAGAGTTAAGGACTCTAGAAAGAACATGAAAGAAAACTTTTATTGGATTTGTGCTCAGGGAAGGAAGTTGCTTTAGCAAGCTAGAGCACGATATTCATGTTATGTTTAAAGTTGTTTATCTGGAAGTTGTGCTAGCCACAAGCAAAACCTGATAATTTTTACCCTTCAGGTAAACTTATGGGTTGTTTTCTAGTTTTGAAGGTGTTTTTAAAGT